TGACATTGGACCATACTTTTACTACAGGGAATTTGAAACGGCTTTGTGGGAAGCTTTCGGATATTTTTCTAGCCCCAACTCAGATATTGTTTTGGATATCATTTTTTATCTACATAATTCAGACATTTACAGTTTTCATGTCAAAAATTGAATGACTGCCTTCTTGTGATCTTTAAAACACCTCCAGAAAATTCCTACAGAAACCTCATGATTTATAAACTAATTTTCTTGAATTCAGTATCAGATGTATGCAAAATAATCTCTTGTTTCGAGAAACTTTTGACCTGTTCTCATGTAAAAAGCCACTTCACTCGTCTCTCTGAATCTTCTCTCACCTTGATGTCAAGATTCTAAATAATTAAGAAATCAGAGTGTATGACAGATACATTACTGATTATGTACTTTTCTGACTTCAAAAGCTTTTCTGGTTAATTTGTTAGTGCTTTAAGTTCCAAAAACGTATCAGACACCATTAGCTAACCTCATTTCTTCTCTTGTATCCTAGTCAAGTTTTGCTCTCTGCTTCTTTTTCAAAACCTATTTGTAGCCTCGCCGAAGTGAAAGTAGAATCCCTGATTTGGTTTCCTTGTCTTCATAATATCATAGACGAGAAACTATTCTGAGATATAGAAATTACCTAGTGTTCAGAATTTTGTATTGTATTCATAGGGTGGAGTATTAATCTATGACCTTTACTGTTGATAGTGCGCATGTATATACTGACTCTTTTTTTTTTATTATTAAACTTACTTCCTGATGGAATACATCTAGGTGGTTTGCAAGTTGGTGGTGGTATCAATTCAACCAATGCCATGAGTTACATAGACGAAGGAGCAAGCCATGTTATTGTAACATCAGTATGCAATATTTTATTGATTTCTCTCACTAATTCTTTTTAGCCTGCAGTTCATGTTCCTAAAGCATTTAAAAAATAACCTTCTTTTCCTACTCCTTCAATCAATACTAAGTAGACTTTATGTGATGTTATGCAAACCATTCATAAAACCATATTTTCACCATATTTTCACCATAAAACCGTGATGAGCTTTTACTGAGATGGATATCAATGTAAGCCAAGTGATCTGCATGTACGGGAATTGCATTAAAAAATTGTATATATCGGAAGATGCTTGATTGTTGACCGTATAGGAAGGCCTAGAAGCACACCTTTGTTCTTTGATATAGCGTTGTTACAATGTATAAGAGATCTGAAATTCTTGACTTGAATGGTGGTTGATAATCTTGAATATGATAGGCAGCTATGCTTATCGCTACTCATTCAAATAGTACGAAAATGTAGAAAATTGGATTGAGATATTTATGTAAACGTAACTTAGCAAGAGAGAGCTGCATATGGACCGTTAGGAACTCCCAGTGGTTTCAGTGGATGATTTTGACATGTATTGCATATATTCATATTTTTTATTATGTTCCATACTCTTTTGGATGCAAAACATGCTGACCAAACGTTCTATTTGGTAGCTTATCTTATTGGTACGTGTTCATTGCAATGGCAGTATGTATTCAATGATGGACATGTTGATTTTGGGAGGCTAAAAGATCTAGCCAATACTGTCGGAAAACAGAGGCTTGTGTTGGATCTTAGCTGCAGAAAGAAGGTATATCTATGGTAAAATGAATTTTGGTAAACTGAAATTTCGAATTTAATCTAGAAATTTTTATCTGGTTGGAATTTTATTTTTTAATCACGACACTACCAAAAGATAAAGTTTCAGATCTTATTTTAAAGAAAAATAAATAATATATTAGGGTTGAGCATCCTTTGGCAAAATGTAAGATGCGTAAGTTGTCTTCAAATGCGATCTTGAAGTCCTGACTATATATTGATCATATACGGAGTCCTATAATAACAGTTTCGTCCGAACATTTTTCTTTTTCTTTTTTTGTATAATTCTTTCCTTCCTAATAAAATCCAAAGACCAAAGGATAAACACTAGAAATTTTCATCAGATATAGCTGTAAATAAGCATAATACTCACTGTAACTATGTAATATAATATCAATGGTGGTGGCAGGCTCCGTAGAAAAACCTTTTTCTATTGCTCAACAACTTAAAACTTAAAATTTTACAGTAATTATCAAGTAATCATGAGTTTGGTAAATTATTTTATAAAATTACATTGGTGGATCTGATACATGATTTTGATACCGATGATTAGTAATTTTCTGAACTGGATGTAAGAGATGGTCAGTTATATATATATATATATATATATATATATATATATATATATATATATATATATATATATATATATATATATATATATATATATATATATATATATATATTTGCAGCTGTTTCCCTTTCCGAAATAGAAAATGTGTCACGGTCGATATATTAGCAGTATTGACTTAAAAAGTTATATGCAGGGGGACAGATATGCAGTTGTGACGGATAGATGGCAGAAGTTCACCGATGTATATCTTGATCAGAAAGTGTTGCATTTGCTCGCAACTTTCGCTGACGAGTTTCTTGTCCATGGAGTTGATGTTGAAGGCAAAAAGTACGTCTTACCGAATCAATCGTAGATAGAGGGGGTATAATTATGTCTGAGCTTGGTTTATCAGCAGTCGAACCGAGCTTTATTCGAGCCGAACACTAATCGAATTCTAGTATCTTGATTTTTATTTTTTTTAATAAATCCTTCATTATTTTTGCATCTGATTTCATCTGGCTACTCTGAAATTGCAGGCTGGGAATTGACGAAGAGCTTGTTACTTTGCTTGGCCTGCTCTCACCGGTGAGGAATTTTCATATCAGTTGCATACAATCATGCTATTGAAGTAGTCACCGTTATGCTTCAAAGATTATACATCTATTTATTTATTTATTTATTAAATTTTTTTTTTTGATAAGATTCCGGTGACCTATGCTGGTGGAGTCACCGATAAGGATGATTTAGAGAGGATCAAAATGGCAGGAACGGGTCGCGTAGATGTCACTGTCGGCAGTGCTTTGGATATTTTTGGAGGCAATTTGTCTTACAAGGATGTCGTGGCCTGGCATTTTCAGCAACAAGCCTTGCCACTCTGGCACAACAACATGGTTTGACAAAATTTCCCTCTTTCTCGAGCTTTCTATAATTGATCTTTGGTCCTTAATAAGAAAACTCCGGTGAAGCTGCGTTTTGTGATCTCAAACCCCGACTAGTGTTTTTTTCGTTTTTTTTCTTCTTCTTCTTGGAATTTGCTGTTGCACAATAACTTTTATAGAAAGGGGTGCTTCACAATAAATATCCATGCATAGCTATTTTTCTGTTCTTTTCCACGTCGATTCCTAGTTTCTATCTGTTATGGACAAATGAAGTTTATTCAATGTTAATGCTTCTATTTTTCGTCTCTAAACGGGCTTTCACGTTTCTGTGTCGGATGAAGAGTCTTTGTACAACATTTCTGATAAAAAGAAAAAGAAAAAAGAAAAACACAAGTTGGAATCTGTCTTCTGTTAACTAAAACCCTGATTCTCCTAGTTGCATATTCTACAGACAAAGGTCTTTAATTTTCTTTTTCCCTTTTCTTTAATTTCTTTTCCTCTAATAATAATAATAATAAAATAAAAAAAAAAAAAAAAAAAAAAACTAAAATTAGTGCACTTGAGGGATACATTCAATCTTGATTGTGCTTTGTTCATTCTGCTGCACATGAGAAATCATATCTTCAACAGAAACTCCCTCTTTACTTAGAATTGCTTGCAGCTCCTTTTTGCTAATCACAAGCTTAATTCTCGTCACTCCGTTCGATTGTCGGGTTTTTTCCTTTTCTTCTTCTGCTTCTTCTTCTACTATTACAACATCCTCTGCAAAACGAACTGTCTTCTTCGGCTTCGTCTTCGTCTTCTTCATCGGTTGTGGGACCACCGGTAGAGGAACAAGATAATACAAACGGCCTCGAAGCAAATCAGCATTCGGATGCATGTGGTTTACGATAGGAGGAAGATTATCAGATACTAATAATGCGTGGTTTGGAAAATCGGACAGCACTTGATGTACTTTAATCGGGGATTTGTACTCGATAATCTTCCCATCTGTTCTCATTACATTTACAGACTTGTCTTGAACAACAAATATGCAATTTCCCATACTTCGTTTTTTTTTTTTTTTTTTTTGGCAAGAACAAAAAAACCTTTGAAGAATTAGTAACTGAAAATTGGGTTTTGAATGTTTTTAACTAAGGCTTCCTAGGAGTACATGAGTGGTATTTATATGAACAAAGAAATGAGAATGCCCTTGTAGTTTGTTGATATTACAAGAAAACCTTAGAGCAGCTTTTAGGGCCCACATTTGATGATGATTTTTTTTGTTGGTGGTGCTACTAGGAACCATGATACAAACATGTACGACTCGTTTATTAAAGCATTTGAAATACAAAATTATAGTTAAACTTATAAATCCTATATCCAATCATCTTAAAATTTAAATCTTTAGAATAAAATTTGAGAACTTACAGCTTTAAAAATATCTTATCTGATATAAGAACTTATCAAATATTTTAAACGAGAGATAATTTGCTTAGTATCTCTGGCCACTAGTACTCTTTCAAATCAGGACAACGAGATTTTTGGCGTTTTGCTAAAAATCATTTATGTCTTCTTCTCCACCACTCCATCTATTTCTACTGCAATCTTTCAGATCTGCTTCACTCCCGCTCCCCACCGCTACCATCGCCGAAATTCTTTCATACACAGTCACACACATGCACACACGCCTACATAGTGACACACACGCCCACATACACCACACATATATAGTGACGCACACACACTCACACGAGCACATATAAATCACATTCACGCACAATAATCGTTTGGAAAATCAGATGTACGTATTTTGTGGCTCACTTCGTTTAACTACATGATTCGGAAGAGAGATAATTACAATAGACAAGTATTCCATAGTAGATGACCACTGAACATAACTAAGCTCTCACTAAACTTTGTAACTAAACTCTCTAAATAAATTTAAAAAAAAGACCTTTAGCAAATAATAAACTAGTTACGTGTCCTTCCAGCTATAGAAAACATTTCGGAGCAAGGAGGAACTAATTTATCCTCATAAAATAAACTTAGTCAAACGGATCATTGATCACGATATGCTTATCTAAAATATTTGTTATTAGTTATTTCCCATTGTAGTCTCCTCTTACTAAGAACTAAATTTCACAACTTATATTTCTAAGGATGCATCTTATTCAACATACATGCGATTGTTTCAGATTACATTTTCATATAAATTCATTATTATATATTTATTTGTGTGATATTTATACCTCAAATAAGTGTCTATAATTTTTTTATATAATTACAGCAAAATTATTTCATATGATCCATTTGTACCTTAGTGGGTAAATATGTATATATAAGGACCAGGAGGTGGAGCATTACCAAACGCTTTTTTTCCTTTTTTTAATTAATTAATTAATTAATTAATATATTTAACTGGGAAATTATGAGATAGGAATTAAGATCGAATCCTCAGTTAGTGGTTGAAAATTGCTTGCCATTAAATTTGTTTGACTCCAATTAGATCCTTTTTTATTTGGTCGGTTGGACCTAATTATTATGATTATTACTTTATTTATTTTTTTATTTATTTTAATTTCACCCGTGCATGCATATTATAGTAGGCATATATAGTAATTGAATTTCATTCAATGTACAAGATGCTTGTGATATTGAAAAACAATTACTAATTAGATAATCTTAATGTTGGTCGTTCTAATTTTAGGAATAATGAATCAAAATTCAATTCTAATAATTTCATGATCATTGTTTTTGAGCCTGTATTAATATGCGTGATGCAAATTAATTATAAATGAAGACGCGTTTGGTTTGGTTTATTTAGATGGGATTCCATAAAATAATGGTCTCTATTGAAAATGTTCAAATCTAGAGATCTATCATTGATCCCGATAGTCTTATTTGATGTTACCCTCGATGAAATACATCGGATAATTATTAATCGTTCATTTTTATATAATCACATGTGTACGTGTGCTTAATGGAAAGTGATATTTCATCACATCGATGGTTAAAAAATATCTGGTGTATTTCATTAGGTGTAGCATCTCAATGACCGATCCCGATATAATTCACTTGGTGCAATGAGAATGTTCCAATCAATTAGTGGTTTTCATTTAAAAAATATATAAATTATACCCATAATAATTTTTGCTTTAGCTAAATATTTTTGTTTCATATTATGCACTTTTTAGAATTTCAATACCATATTGAATGCATTTTGTCATGTTTTATCCATATTCATCGACTATAATATCAATTCTCTCTATCACATCATTAAATTATCAAGATTATTAATCTCTTTAGGCCCCGTTTGGTTGCCAAGATAAGCCATGATTAACTAAATAGTTGGACTTAATTTGATGTTTGGTATCCTCAATAACTTGCCGGGTCGACCCGCCAAAATTATATAATCATGGCTTATCTTGCCTTATCTTGGCTTATCTTGCCTTTTAATGAGTTTTTTTTGTTGCACCTTTCAAGCTCCAATAAAATAATTGGGTCTCATTAGATTATTTAATCTTATCTTGGCTAATCTTATCTTGCCAACCAAACGAGGCCTTAATGTATTTTTTAAAATCAAGAAATATTTGCAATATTTGTAAAAAACAGAAAATCAACGATTATTATATTCATATAGTAATTAATTGTGCCACTACGTTGTCATTATACGTAGTTGCAATATTGCATCATTAATTCAATAAAGTGACAAATAAGAGAAAATATTAGCGATAAAATATTTTATATATTATCTGCTATTTTGTTATCGTACAATATAGAACGCGTTACTGAATTAAAATAAATATTGAAACAGGAGACTGAGTGCTCAAATTGAAGAAAATAATCGTAGCCAAGTGGAAAAACAATTTGCTCGAAAGATTCCAATATGCATATGAAGCCATTTTATTTAGGATAAATTAAAGCAGAATACACATTGTTCAGTGGTAAGTGATGCCATAAATACGCATGTTTGATGTAAGGATATATATATATATATATATATGCATGTCAATTTCATTTGGTGGAGTAAATTGGAATTTTTCATAATATCAAAAAAAGATGAATGATATGATGGTGGATTATATCTCATCATGCTATATTTGCATTTATATATGTAGCACGAAAACTTCAACTTTACAACGTATGTTGTATATATATTCTGGACACGTTTTGTGTCCGTCACTCAAGAACGCGTTTCGGACGTCTTGTGGGTCATTTTGCAATTTCTAAGAGTTAAAAACATGTTTAAATAACTAATTTTCAATTTTGTTTGCTTTCGTAATTATTTACATAATTTATCGAGCAATTGCAAATTGATAGATGATAGAAATATATATGTGTATAGAATATATAAAAAGAACTTATAGTTTTATATAGCATATTTATAAATATAACCCCATATTTTTAATATTTACACGTTTCCCTCACATTTTCGTATCTCCATTTGTGGGACATGCTGTTTTCCCGTTTTCATTTTCCCGTTTCCCCGTATCACTGTTTCCGTGTCCATGCTACATACGCTGCCACTAAAAATTAAATTACCAATGGATAAATTTATTTTATCCAATTATTTGTCAGATTAGAATCCCATTATTCAAATGAATGGCTCATTTTATCCACTACTTCCCTTTAGTCCAATAATAGCTACATATTTAACTAAAGTTAATTTTAAAAAAATAAAAAAATCACCTACAATCCATGAAATATAAAGTTAAGTTCAAAATAATCATGTACCACTTTACACTCAACTCCATTACTTCATTTAATTTGTTATTTTGATTAATTATACCGAAGTGTTGAAATATTATATTATTAATTTCTGATCATATTGCAACACTTCCCCACAAGCACCATTTTATTAGTTTATTTAGAGAGATGCACTGCAATCATTCTGTTTGATGATGAATGCCTTAATCTTGTTTGCTCTATACTAGGAAACACATTAAACATTTTTATTTATTTATAATTCATGGATTCTCAAAACTATTAATATAATTATTAGTTTATATTTATAATATCGAATGTAAGTGAAGGGACAAATTTATCCCTGTAAATCTCACGTGCAAGTCACAATTGCCGGAAAATTCAGTTTAGGGGAGCATTGTGCAACAATTTAATGGATTCAAGTAAAAACATGCAATTTTCTTTTGGGGGCAAAGTGTAAAACGGACCTAAGTTTAGGGGGCAAACTGCTTACTACTCTATATTATATTACTGGGTTTCAGATTTTCCCTTGTGTGATTAATAATTCATGGATTCTCAAAGCTATTAATATAAAGTCTCTAGTTTTCTTGATTTTACAAAAAAATGATGGAGAAAGTTGGAAGTGACGACTCTTGAAATTTGAGAAAAAGGAGTAAAAAGGAAATTAAATTCACTCGTTTTGTGATGAATATAGGATAGTGGAATGCAAAACATCTCTTTCTAAAAAAGTAATCTTTGAGAATTTTTTTTTTTCCATATTATCTGTCATTCCAGTTTATACCCTTATTAACTCTTTCCAATACTCTTTTTTCAACTAATTTCTCTCTTATATTAATTATAAGACAAGGTCATTTTAGGTGGTGTTTGCAAATGATTATTTAAAAGCAGAAGTTAGTGATTGTGAGTTAAGTCAGTTTTAAGTACTTATTTCTAAAAGTTGGGGGTGTTTGCAAATATTCCAGAAAATGAACTTAAATAGAAAAAGCAAGGTTAGGGTTGCTTTTAAAAAAATAGCTTAAAACAGATTATTTTAAGAGAAGCAAAAACAAAAGTTAATTTTGCAAACACCTGAAAACAGATTATGAGCAAAAAAAAGCTCATCCTCACTTTTAAAAAGCGTTTGCAAACACCACCTTAGTCTAAAAGCATACATTTTCCTAAAATCAAGATATATTTAATGAAATTCTTAATCTTTGTGCAAAGCTAAAA